AGAGGAAGAGAGCGCGGGCGAACCGCCGCTCGGCGCCGCCGCCAGTCCCGCCGCCAGCCTGTCCAGTAAAGCCGCCGCTTCCTCGGCCATCTCCATCACCTCCAGCGACAGCGAATGCGACCTGTGAGCAGGAGAAAGAGGCCCCGCCGAGCCTGCGTGGGCTACAGCGCGGGTCTGCGGACCGAGGGGCGGACGAAGAGGGGATCCGGCGAGGGCGCAGCGGTACCCCGAGGGGCGGCCACGGCCAGCCGGCGCCTGCCTCCCTCGCCGCCTTCAACCCTTTGCCTTGTCCGCTGTCCGGGGTCTCTGCGCCTGAGGAGCGCCAGGAACAGGACTCAGCCAGGCCAGGACCTGCCGAAAGAAAGACTCCGAAGCCTTGAATTCTTCAACCGGGAGATACTGGAACGTGTGGAGTCAAACGTTACGCGCGCGGGCGCACAAAGGGTGCCACCGGCGTCGCCCACTGGAATCTCTGTTTTTTCCCTCGGAATATCCGACTGCAGAGACAGCGATTTTTGTTTTGTTTTTAGTTTTCTTTTACTTTTTATATATAAATATAAATATTTTATATAATGTTTATTGACTTATTTAAATTACTCTGTTGGTAGATCGTCTTATTTGGTTACCATAATCGCTATTATTAATATTATTATTATTATATGGGGCGGTGCCTATGTGAATAACTGATACTGTATTTCATTTCCTCCCTTTGTGGAGCATGTGCAGGATCTGGTATTGTATGGAGAAGAAGGGCAGCCAAAACACAGAAGAAACAAATGAAACCAGTATAATAATATATCCGGTGAGCAAAATAAATTCTGTTATTCCCTTCCTTGTGTTAAAAATTCTTAATCTTGGAAAGAGCAGGTATTGATAGGGGGGTTAAGTAAGGATGTGAGAAAGGCAGCTAAGAACAATACCTGGCGAGGGGAATTTGCAAAACAATGGGCTGTGTTTACAGTTTACCCATGATTAACTGCCTCATCAGGTCTACTCAATTAATTCTCTTTTATGGATTCATTCAACACAAAATTATAAACTAGCCATAGAGACTGGCTTTGCAGGAACACAGTGACACTACAATGTGGATGACCAGTTCATTCAGTTATTTTATTGAGCACACAGCTGGTAGACAGTTGGTCCTTTGCACATTCAAGTAGCTCTTATTCACTTGGGTTTTTGTGGCTTGTGGCTGGAAGTTCATTTACAAAGAAAATTATTGCTCCTTGATCATTACTGGATCCTCCCTCTACTGCAGAGGATTTTATGATTTAGGGATAAAATGATCTTACCAGCCAGATTGATCCAGAGATAAAGGAGGGGAAGAAAAGAGAATGAGGGGAGAGAAATGCATTTTCATTAAAAAAAAAAAAAGCTAAGTAAATCTTTTAGCATCCTGAAAAGAGGCTACAATCCATTTTAGCACATTACTTGCAATAAGCCCCCTTAAGTCAATAGGATCTACAACTCCTAAGTAACCATGTCTAGGTTTGGACTATACAGTTGTTCTTTGCAGAAAATAAAGCAGTAGTTGTGATGATAGTCCTTTCATTTTCTGACTCTTACATCCTAATTATATGAACTAGTCATTAAGAGCAGGTTTACAAAATTAATCCTTCTAAATACTATAAAATATAGTCCATTATCTTTTCAGTATGGAAAATGATACAGAATTGCAGTTGGACTTTGTTTCCTGTAATAACTTTTCCATGGCTAAATTGTAATTGACAAAAAATTAACTGGCCAACACCAGGACCCAGGTATTTTCTGTTATTCATCTCAGGGTTTAATAGGCATAAACCTGATAACATGCATGGCCCACTTTAAAAATATACTGTATAAATATGGTATAGAATGTGATTTACTGCATACTCTTATCTATTTAGTCATACTGATCCTACGCAGTGATTCATGCTTCAGGAGCTTTTCTGTGTACTAACTGCATAGGATCAGCCCAGGGAAGCATACAATCCAATGTACATGGCAGTAGGATCCTAGATATATGTACTCAGGAAAAGGAAACAAAACTCACTCTCAGGTAGGTAAGTATAGGATTGAAGCATTACTTGTAAGCCTCTTTGAACTCTTGTAACTTCCCCCATGTAAGCATATATAGAATAGGGTTGTGCCGTTAGATATGAAGCATCAGTCTTTAAAATCAAGCTTTTCTTTTCATTCAAAGATAAAATATATTGCTGCCACCACTGCCCACCCCACAAATTACTCTGGCCAATGTTAGAAAATGATACTGATTTTATTTATTGTATTTCTGTTCTGTTTCTTTTCCTCTCCACCATGAAATTAAAATTTTAGTAGACAGAACCTGAGTGTCCCCATCCAGGCTGTGCTCTGATCCTGTGCTACTTGATCGGTACACAGGGGATGATGATCTAATACTTACCAGAGCCTTTTAATGAATGAGCATGTTTGTGAGCTGCTAGATATTTGCCTAGGTTCACAACTCCATTGAGACAAACTCCATTGACTCGAATCTAGTAAACTCCATTTACCTGAATCTGCTGTGGGTCAGATTGAGAGAAGCAGGCAGAGAGAAACTGAGCAAACACTTGCCTGGCTCTTGGACTGGATTCCCCCACTGCCTAACGGGCTGGCTTTGGTGGAAGAAAGCAAAAGGCCTTTAGCAGGAGCACCAGCTAAGCTTCTTTAGTGTGTGTGGGTTTTCCCCTTCCCCAGCTGAAGGGATTTTATACCATTATAGAGTTTGAGTACTGATCTTTAAATCACTTGAGCTGTGCTGTTTCAGTCTTGTTTTTCTGTTTTTGCAGAATAAGCTGATGGCTTACAAGTTGATTTCATTGGGAAAAGACAGGGAAGAAACGACAGGCAGGGTGCAGAGCTGGGTCTTTTAGAGAGGTTGCTGGAAAGCTATTACTTAAAATGCAGCCCTCATATACTCTAATATACCCCCACTTTACCTGGAAATAAACTCCATTATTATTCAGAGGTTTCAATTCTGTTTCTGGGGACTGAATTGCAGTGTCACTCATATTCTCCTGCTGCCCACTAGTACGCTACAGGCAAGCCAAAATGGATGTAGGCTGGTTGCCCATGCATCAGTCAGAATTTCTCTTTTCTTTTTAATTAAAAGAAATCAGAAGGAAGCAAGCTAGAAAGCAAAGACTGATTACTAGGGGGGTAAGTTGTGGTGGACGCAACGGTATTCACTTTTGACTGAACAGCGGATAGCATTACACTGCATATCTTGCTCTCCAGGCAAGGGAACTTTAAAGTCATCCTTCTGGAGTCAATCTTCAGTATCCATCCCTGTCTTAAAATCATATCTTATGTAAGGCAGCAATAATATATCTGTTGGGAGTGGATGGGAAACATGCTGAGGTTAGGCACAAGGGGAATTTAATGAAGGAATGCTCAGTTAATTATTTAGGATCTAGGTCAGCCTTTCCAACCTGGTAGCCCTCCAGTTGCCTTGGAGTTCTGCTTGTGTCATCAACAAGCAACATCTAGCCCAGCACATCAAGCTGGGGAAGGCTGATTGAGGTCATGATCATCGTAATTGTCATCATGTTATCCCACTCTTCATTGTTTAAAAGCCCAGAGCACTTTACAAGAAAAAGCAATCCTTAGAAACAATACATGACAAAATGAAGATAGGGTTCATTAAAAGAGAGAGAGAGAGAGAGAAGCAGGAGAATAGGTCATCTAAAACTGAAATTGAATAAACATGTTTTCACAAATTTTGTAGAGGATAATGTGGAGATGACCCAAATGGCCTTCCGAAGAGAGTTATATAATTGCATGTTGCTACTGAGAAAGCCCTGCTCCTGGCCACCAAAGTGTGAGCCAAACTCACTAGTGAAATCATGAGCAGGGTTTCATAACTGATTTTCATACCTGGGCCAGATGGAATTGAAGGAGGCATTCTGGGTCCTAAGCCAGCTTTACAGACAAATATCAGAACCTTACATTAACTATTCACATATTATCTACAATATGTAGTACATTTTATAACCCATTAAAAACATTCCAAACATGTCTTTCAAAAGTTAGAAAATAATAAAATATACGCTATTCAGAAATACAATTAAATCAATTGCAATAACTTTATGCATGCTGCATCCATAAATTGCTGAGCAAATTAATGTTCTTTGAATGTTTGCTTAAAGGGAAATCATAGATTTGGGAAGAGATTTAAGGCTATCGTTGAAAAAGTCTCAAATAGCCCTTCAGTACTCTCTCTCTTCCCACTGAAAAAGTATTTTCTCAGGTACCTATCAATCTCCATTATCTTAATTGTGAGCCAGAAAGAAAAACTTCTGCAACCCATCTCAGGACCAAAGCACATTTATATAGGTACACCGAGTCTCTGAAATAAGCTCAGACCTGAGAAGCAAAGCTAATGCAACTGGCATAGAATTGGTAAAATATGAACAGCAAATTTGGCCATTACAAGCATCCTGGTACACCTACTCTGTTCACCATTTAGTTTCTGAATTTGACTTACAGTTTAATCTGGAATCATAGAATGTAAAGGCTGGAAAGAGATCATCTAGATCAGCATTTCCCAACCTCAGCAACTTTTAAGATGTGTGGACTTCAGCTCCCAGAATTATTCAGTTAGCATGTTGGCTGGGGGAATTCTGGGAGTTGAAGTCCACACATCTTAAAGTTGCTGAGGTTGAGAAACGCTGATCTAGTCCAATGCCTACAGGAATCTATTACTACAACAATTTCCTAATCGACTGATGGGAGAGGCAGATAATACTTTCCGTGCTGGGAATAGTTGTACCTGTAGAATTTGGCCAGTATAAATATGAATTTGGCCAATGCAAATGAAAGAAAAATTAATTTGGTTCATTCAACTAATGTAAGTTGCTTTAGATTTTAAGTTCTCTATATCAAATGGTTCTATACCTCCTTGCAAGCTAAGTTCTCGTAATTGGCAGGAATCTACTTAGTGACACCTAATAATGCAAATCATTCACAATACATTAAGGAATATAATTTAATATAATATAAAGAATTAAAGACCCCCCAAAATTTTAATTTTACTATAATTTTATTATAATATTATATATTATGATTATAACACCATAATGCATACTTTAAATTGTTTATTTATTTGAAATTGGGCC